GGGCGCGCTGCAGCCCCCTCAGTTGGATCCCGGCCGCGGAGAGGGCCGAGGATGTGGGAGGAGGCCCAGACCCCGGGCGGGTCGGCCAGCGCCGTCTTTCCTGGGCTCCTCCGGCGTTCCGAGGTGGGATTAGGAAAAGTCCCCGAGACATTTGCAGAAGTCAGAGGCAAGCTTCCCTGCGCGTTTTCAAACGCTTCTCGTCCGGTAAACAGGATCGTCGTGACAAAGGCTCCTACAGCTTGCTGGAATAGAGGGTCTCCGCTGCCTCGCCTCTCCTGTGGCCTTCGTGTGGGACGCACGAGACGGCAGGACCCAGATAACCGTTCTCTCAAAGTGAGCCACAGGAAAACATCGCCTGTTCCCAAAACTTAGGTTTTATAAACTTTCTACGTACAACCACTATTTTCAAGTGTCACCATGTTTTATAATTAGGGTGGAAATCAACACAAAGTGAGTTACACCCTTTTTCTAGGAAGAGTGGTAGGCTTTATCTTGGAAAAGGGGCCAGGAAGTTTCCCTCAACTTGCCATTGGAACATGTTTTCAGGGAAAGGAAGGTGTATCGTTCCAAGTAACAAAAGTACCTGAAATTAGCTGGGCGCGGTAACTCACACTTCCCAGCACTTTGGGAGGAGGCCTAGGCGGGTGGATCACCTGAGGTCCCCAGTTCGAGACCAGCTGGCCAACATGGTGAAACCCCGTCTCTACCAAAAATACAAAAATTAGCTGGGCGTGATGGCGCATACCTGTAATCGTAAACCTAGCTACACGGGAGGCTGAGGCAGAAGAATCACTTGAACCCGGAAGGCGGAGGTACTCCAGCCTGGACGACAGAGCAAGACTCCGTCTCAAAAAACAAAAAAACAAACAAAAAAAACCCCTGAAATTAACATATCAGTAATTGTTCAGGAACAGCCTCCAGCAGACTGTAGTGGAAGGTGGAGCTCCCACTCAGTAGATCTCAAGACTGAAGACCTTGCTCCTCTTCCTGTTTTTCCGATAGAGTATTTCAAAGCTTATCTGATGTGTGAGAGATGGAAATTGTTGATAATTTGCTTAACCCGAAACTTCGAAGTGGCTGCAAGTCCAGCTGTGAAGGTGACAGGTTAGGTCAGAGTTGAGTGTCCCCAGCAGTCCCAGCCCTATTGGTCAGAATCTGGGAATCCGCATTTTCAGCCAGCCTCATGGGATTGCTCAGCCACGAAGGTGTGGCGGCTGCTGCTGTAGTGAAGGGCCGGTCCCTCAGCTGTACTCTGCTTGCCTGAGTAGCACTGCGGGGCTGCTCTCTGCTGGCCTCTGCCTCCGTGGGCTTAGTTTACTCTGTCCCTAGTGGCCTGTAGGCTGTTCCACCTGCCATGTCGGACATATCCTCAGTTTGTCTGACCCTCTTGGTTTTTCTCTTTCTGGTTGATGCTTGGTTTAGAAGCCTAAGGGCGGTGCTGGGAGTTGATTGAGGGGTGAACGCCTTGGCTGTCCCGTTGACACCCTGTGGAGTTGGTGGGATTTTAGGCATTTAACTAGATGTGTAGAAGGAGCTTCAAAACTGAGCAGGGGGTCAGGCATGGTGGCTCACACCTATAATCCAACACTTTGGGAGGCTGAGGTGGTCGGATTGCCTGAGGTCAGGAGTTGGAGATCAGCCTGGACAACATGGTGAAACCCCGTCTCTGCAAAAAATACAAAAATTAGCCAGGCGTGGTGCCACGTGCCTGTAGTCCCAGCTACTCAGGAGGCTGAGGCAGGAGAATCGCTTGAACCTGGGAGGTGGAGGTTGCAGTGAACTGAGATTGCATCACTGCACTCTAGCCTGGGGGACAGAATGAGACTCCATCTTAAAAAAAAAAAAAAATTGCCGGGCGCGGTGGCTCAAGCCTGTAATCCCAGCACTTTGGGAGGCCGAGACGGGCGGATCACGAGGTCAGGAGATCGAGACCATCCTGGCTAACACGGTGAAACCCCGTCTCTACTAAAAAATACAAAAAACTAGCCGGGCGCGGTGGCGGGCGCCTGTAGTCCCAACTACTTGGGAGGCTGAGGCAGGAGAATGGCGTGAACCCGGGAGGCGGAGCTTGCAGTGAGCCGAGATCCGGCCACTGCACTCCAGCCTGGGCGGCAGAGCGAGACTCCGTCTCAAAAAAAAAAAAAATTGAGCAGGGAGCTAGGCTCCACAGCCCCGCCCGTATGGTATAGGGCCCTTCCATATTAGAAGGAGTTAAGCAGCCTCAGGCCAGAGTCACACTGGAGGCCCTCAGGGAGCTGGGCCCAGCCCAGGCATCCCTCAGGGCTGGTCAAGATGATGCTCTTGGTGACTTTGTCCCAAACAGAGATATGGCCCAATTCAGGGTGATCCTCACAGGCCAGCTTCTCCGGGCCCAACCTTATCCTCTTCACCCCTGAACGCTTGTTCTGGGTGACAGCTCTTAGGGGTCACACGACTGTAAAAAACACCTATGAGCTTTACTCCTTTTTGTATTAATAGTAATAAACTTGTTAGCATTTTAAAATATTGGGTACAACACAGAATTAGCTGCTGGACATTTGGAACATTGGACAGCAATGATTTGAAGTGACTGAACAGGAATATACTCATGGTACCAGAATGGGATCTGTGCATGGGATGAGATGCAGTGGAGGATGATGGAGATTCTCTCTCGTCCCTTGTAGGACTTGTATAACCCAGGCACATCTACGCAGGTCCCTGGGTTACGCGAGTCCTACAAGGGGCGAGAGAATCTCCATCATTCTGGAGGATTCCCTCTGGCCCCTTGTAGCATTTCCCACCCGGGTGGTGGCTACCCTTCTGTGTTTTCACAACTTACATTAACTTTGCGTGTCCTGAAGGTTCAGATCAATAGAATCCTACAGTATATATTTTTGTGTGTGTCTTGCTGCTTTTATTCAGCATAATGTTTTGAAATTTATCCACGTTGCATAAATCATTGAGGTTTGTTGCTGAGTTGCATTCCTTTGTCAGAATACGCCAGATCTTATTTTAAGTGTTTTTTTTTTTTGAGATGGAGTCTCACTCTGTCGCCCAGGCTGGAATGCAGTGGCGCGATCTCTGCTCACTGCATCCTCCGCCTTCCGGGTTCAAGCGATTCTCCTGCCTCAGCCTCCCGAGTAGCTGGGACTACAGGCATGTGCCACCCCACCCAGCTAATTTTTTGTATTTTTAGTAGAGACAGGGTTTCATCGTGTTGACCAGGATGGTCTCAATCTACTGATCTTGTGATCTGCCCACCTTAGCCTCCCAAAGTGCTGAGATTACAGGCTTGAGCCACTGTGCCCGGCCTGTTTAAGTCTTAAAAGAATGCTTGTGGCTGGGTGTGATGGCTCATGCCTGTAATCCCAGCACTTTGGGAGGCTGAGGTGGGCGAATCACTTGAGGTCAGGAGTTCGAGACCAGCCTGGCCAACATGGCGAAACCCTGTCTCTATTAAAATGCAAAATTAGCTGGGCGTGGTGGTGCACACCTTATAATCCTAGCTACTTGGGAAGTTGAGGCAGGAGAATTGCTTGAACCCGGGAGGTGGAGGTTGCAGTGAGCTGAGATGGCACCACTGCACTCCAGCCTAGGCGACAGAGTGAGACTCCGTCTTTAAAAAAAAAAAAAAAAAGAATGCTTACAACTGAGAGAGATGAAACTAGGCCAAGGACCGCCACCCCTCCCCAGGAGCCTCTCTGGAGGCTCACACCTGCTGGTCCTGCCCTTGAATAGACAGAAAAAAATGTTCCCTGTTTTCTGAATTTCCTTTCAGTGTGATAGATCTCATTGACTGTGCATTTAACACTCCTAAATTTTATAAAACGGTTATTTCTTGGGCATTTTTCCAAGAGAAATGAAAAACCAATGTTCATGCAAAAACATGTTCTAGAGTGTCCTTAGTAGCTTTATGTGTAATAACTCCAAACTGGAAACAAGGAAAAAGTCCCCTTCAACTGGGGTGCGGTGACGCTGGGCTCTGTGCCTCCAAATCATACTCTGTTGTGAACTGTTGACACACGAGACAGTTTGCAAGGATCTCAAGAGAATTATGCTGAGGGAGAAAAGCCAACCGCAGAAGGATGCTTGCTGTGGGATCCCATTTATGCCACATTGTTGTTCTGACCCAGAGCTGAAGGGTGGCATGGCCAGAAAAGGACCTACACAGGGAGGCCAGGGTGTCTGGCCCTGGCAGAAGAGCAGCTGTGGAACAGGATAGGAACACAGAGGTGGAGCTTAGTGGAGGAGGGAAGGAATGCTTAGCTGTGGGGCTCAGAGACTTGGAAAAGCAAGAGGAAGCTTTACGAGCAAGTGTGCAGAAATTAGTGCAGGGGAAGGTTGATGGATTGCTCCACCTTCTTAGGATGCGGTTTGATAATGTGTGTCAAGCGTCTTAAAAATGTACCTGCACCTCACCCTAGTAAGTAGAGTCGAGGCTGAGGAAGCCAAATGCTAGAAATACCAAAGCACCTAAAGTTAGAAACTGGTATCATTTGTGATTGGGAAAATTGTCAGTAGTGTGAAACTTCCCTCCCTTATGCAGAGAGGAAAGTGCTGGGAGAAACGGCTGGAAAGGAGGAACCCAGGAAAGGAAGAACCCAAGTGGTGACTTTTTTTCTGAGTGGATAGGATCCTGAGAGAAAATTTGTTTTGTGGTTTTTGATACTCTTCCAGATTGTCTACAGTGAGCTGTGGAAATAAGCAACCAGGTGAGAACAGGCAGAGGCTGTTTATCCAGAGCTTACCCTAGCAAGGGTGCGGCCCTTCTCCCTTGTGATTGGCAGAAACTCATAGGCAGGCGAGGGAACAGGAGAGCTTTACAGTGGAAACCAGGGAAGCTCAGGGATGGCTGATGGAGGCTGCTGACTTGGGGGACTGGGGTGGCTGGTTAGAAGTGGGGTTCCTGGCCTGGCACAGTGGCTCACACCTATAATCCCAGCACTTTGGGAGGCCCAGTTGAGTGGATCACCCAAGGTCAGGAGTTTGAGACCAGCCTGGCCAACATGGTAAAAACCCCGTCTCTACTGAAAATACAAAAATTAGCCAGGCCTGGTGGTACACGCTTGTAATCCCAGCTATTCGGGAGGCTGAGGCAGGAGAATCCCTTGAACCTGGGAGGTGGAGGTTGCAGTGAGCTGAGACCATGCCACTGCACTTCAGCCTGGGTGACACAACAACAACAGAAAGAAGTGGGGCTCCTATGAGATGGCTTAGAACACATTTGGCTTTCTCTGGTTGGTCCTAAATTGGAAGCAGGGACAAAAACTGGAGAGGTTGTCAGCTAATCATGTCCTGGCCATTTTGGGCTGCTTGCTGTGGAAATGACTGTTTAGCTTCCTAGAGAAAGCAGCCAGGCTTCCTGCAAGAGTGACGAGGGCAACCTGGCTTCCTGGCTGGTTGCTGAAGGTAAAGGGCTGCTTTCGGACCACTTGCCGCAGATTATGGCTGATAGTTCTGCTTCTGTGCATGGTTCCGCCATTGTTTGTTGGTGTATTCCCTCACTCAGAGCAGATGTTAGGGTGATTTCCGATGGTCACAGATTCCTAGTGCTGCCCTTAGGACTGCTGACAGCACCAGGCCAAGCACTTAATTCATCCTCTTAAGATCCCCAATGGGAGGTTCATGACCTGGCGTTTCTAAGGACTCAGAGGAAAGCAAAGTGGGACCCAGAGGATACTAGGAGCTTGGGCCAGCTTCCTGAGCTGGTTGCCAGTGTGGTTGTGGGTCTTCTTGGTCTGTCCCATTGGTATTCTCGTTCCTTCTGTGAGTTGCCCTCATCGTCCTGGTCAGCCATGCTGACCTCCTGTAGACCCTACATTATGGGGGTTGTGCTGCTGGGTGTCCAGAGTCAAGGGAGGCAGCCAGGGGTTCTTCTGTCTGTAAACTTGGGCTGAATGCATGCTGTTCAAGAGGATTTGGTTTGGGTCTTAATTAATCCATTGTTATGCAGGCTTGGGATTGAGATAGGGTTGAAAGAGAAACTAAAAACCCAAAAGGTATAGTGACTTCCCACAGAGGAACCCGTGGCACTTAATCTTTTCCTCAACACAGGGTGTCTTTTGTAGTTTGACATAGCCTTATGTTAATTCTCAATATACTTAGCAATTTTAAGCCAGTGATTTAAACAATGGATTGGGATGAAAACCTCTGAAAAGTTAAATTTGTGGCTGACACAAAGAACGTGAATATTTACCAGAAGTAGTTGAAATGTTTAAATGTGTTTTGGTGGTAAAGTGTCCTTCATGTAGAGTTAGTTGAGAAGCTGGTGTATGCAGGTGTGAGAGGTGATGCAGGTGTGAGAGGTAGTTGAGAAGCTGGTGTATGCAGGTGTGAGAGGTGGTTGTGCCTGTGGTGACACTTGCATGCTGCTGGGGAAATTGGTGTTGTAGGGGAAATAAGCTAGGGTTATGTAAGTTTTATTTTAGTTTTAATTTTGAAATAATTGTAGAACCAGGGGAGGTCGCAGAGCAGTGTTCAGGAGGTCCCGTGTGCCCTTCCTCTGCTCCCCAGGGTTGGCATCCTCATAGGATGCACAGCCAGGCCCCAGGTCCATGGGATCACATGGCTGCTGCAGGCCCATGTGCATGTGTCCCGTGCTGTGCAGTCAGAGTGGAACCACCCCCACAGTCCAGGAGCAGAAGGGGCCTCACCCCCGAGATCTCCCTGCGCAGGTCCTTTTCTAGCCATGCCACCCCTCAGCTCTGGGTCAGCACTGCAGTGTGGCATAAATGGGATCGCACAGCAGGCACCCCTCTGAGGTTGGCTTTTCTCCCTCAGCATAATTCCCTTGTGGAAGGATCCGTTGTGTGTATCAACAGTTCATTCCTTTCTATTGCAGAGTAGGATTTGGTGGCATAAATGGAGCAGAGTGTGTGTCACCATGCCCAGGTGAAAGGGACGTTTTCCTTGTTTCTGGTTTGGAGTTATTACAAATAAAGCTGCTGTGGACATTCTGGAACATGTTTTTGCATGAACATTGGTTTATTTCTCTCGGATAAATGCCCAAGACGTCACTTAGTTTTATAACATTTAGGTGTGTTAAATGCACAGGCAATTGAGATCTATGACACTGAAAGGAAATTCAGAGAACAGGGGGAACCTTTCTTCTGTTTATTCAAGGTAGGACCAGCAGGTGGGAGCTTCCAGAGGGGCTCCTGGGAAGGGGTATGGTTGGCAGCCAGTTCTCCCGCACTGCGAAACCTCCCATCCTGGGTCTCCAGACCCCGAGCAGAGACAGCATATGCCTCCCATAGCCCAGCTTTCCAAAAGCAACCTGGGTATACCCTGGTCACAGGGAGCCATCAGATTGACTAAGAGAAAAAGAAGTTCCAAAGTTTGCATATTCAAAAGATTGTAACCCTATTTATGCATAACTTGATTTGAAATAATATTTCACTACATCACAAGCATGAGAAGAGATAAACTTAATCATGTGTGAGATGCTTGTCCTGTCAGACTCTGCCGGCCAGTGTGGCCCTGAGCCAGCTGTCATCCTCCCAGCTCCCCACAGGCGGCACTGGCTCAGAATGGCACCTGTCAAAAGCCAGAGCCCACCCTCTTCTCTGCTCTGCCTTCAATGCCCCAGAGATATCCCAATTTAGAATCAGTTAAAAAAAAAAAAAGTTTGCACAGACTCGTATTTCTAAGAGTAGACATGGTCAATGTCCATCTAGTGCATCTGTGCTGTGCATCTGAGTGGAGCCTGCTCAGCAAGGCTGAGCCTCAGGTACCAGCCCGGAGTTGCCCAGGTCTGGGGTAAAGTCCAGGAATCTGCATCTTCAACCAGCAGCGCCATTGCTGAGACACACGCTGAGAAACGCTGCCTTGGCCAGCTGTGGGCTGCCACAACACACTGGTGGGGAACCCCCCTTCCCCCCGCCCCCCCAACACACACCTTGCCATGTTTTGGTTCCTTTGAAGAGAAAGGAGTTGGGATGAGAGGGAGGAGGTGGCCCCTGAAGCCATGGTTGTGCCAACTCGTCAAGAGTTCTCCAGTGGAGGGCATTGACCCTGAGAGATGTCAAGTAGAAAGCAGCCAGGCAGAGCCTCTGCACCTTGGGAGAAATGAACTGGTGGGGGCGGGTGGGGGGAGCCAAGGAATGGGTGTGATCCCTAATGATCCCTAAGGCACGCAGCACGGGTGGGTGTGGGAACAAGGGGCTGCCCAGGGCCACATGGGCTCTGCCAGGGGACCCTGTGTCCCTTGGAGAATTGTGCACGAAACACAGCCCACTCGCTGCATGGTTAGAGCATACAGCCCTGCAGTCCTTCCCCTGCGCGTTCCTGGTGGCACAGCTTTCCAGCATGGCTGTCTGCGACATATAGAGGCTTTTAGTGAAAGTATTGAGGGGGAAGGCACTAACCCTCTGAACACAGAAGTGACTTTGTCCCAGGCAGGATCCTGAGGGAAGTTGGAATGGTAGGTGTGTGCGCCCGGCCCTGTCCCCAGCCCTGCGCCCTCTGCAGGCTGGCATGGTTCACATTCATCTCATGTTACCCCAGGGTCTCTTCTTTTGTATGCACTACAATTAGATTTTTTGATACAGATTTTCAGCCAAGCTCTCAAACACTTATATTTCTCTTATATATTTCTCCTACTTTTAGTTCATTTACCTTTTTTTGCTGGAGATCACTGCTGTGGTACAGTTTAGAGGTTTGTTGTTTCTCACAACGTGACTGCCTGGATTAGGCAGGATGGCAGCTAATCTGAGGGGGTCTCCCACTGGGCTCCACGTCTCAGCTCTGACTTCCCTGCCTGTTACAGAGTCACTGCTCCTTGTGTACAGTCAGGGCAGTCAGACGGAATCCAAGGGGCGTTGTCTGCTAGAGAGTCTGCTGTGTGCTAAGTGGTATCTTCCTTGGTTTCTGCAGGACACAATGTTTGCACGAGGACTGAAGAGGAAATGTGTTGGCCACGAGGAAGACGTGGAGGGAGCCCTGGCTGGCTTGAAGACCGTGTCCTCGTACAGCCTACAGCGGCAGTCGCTCCTGGACATGTCTCTGGTGAAGCTGCAGCTTTGCCACATGCTTGTGGAGCCCAATCTGTGCCGCTCAGTCCTCATTGCCAACACAGTCCGGCAGATCCAAGAGGAGATGACGCAGGATGGGACGTGGCGCGCAGTGGCACCCCAGGCTGCAGGGCGGGCGCCGCTCGACCGCTTGGTCTCCACGGAGATACTGTGCCGTGCAGCGTGGGAGCAGGAGGGGGCACGTCCTGCCCCTGGGTTGGGAGATGGCCACACACAGGGCCCAGTTTCTGACCTTTGCCCAGTCACCTCAGCGCAGGCACCAAGGCACCCGCAGAGCAGCGTCTGGGAGATGGATGGCCCTCGAGAAAACAGAGGAAGCTTTCACAAGTCACTTGATCAAATATTTGAAACGCTGGAGACTAAAAACCCCAGCTGCATGGAAGAGCTGTTCTCAGATGTGGACAGTCCCTACTACGACCTGGACACAGTACTGACAGGCATGATGGGGGGCGCCAGGCCAGGCCCCTGTGAAGGGCTCGAGGGCTTGGCTCCAGCCACCCCGGGCCCTAGCTCCAGCTGCAAGTCTGACCTGGGCGAGCTGGACCACGTAGTGGAGATCCTGGTGGAGACCTGAGCAGGAGCCCTGAGCGCTCACAGCCGCCTCTGACGCATGGACACGTGAGCACTGGCTCCCACGGAGGGTGCGCCTGCCGCCAGCGGCCCAGCCTTGCTGCCCTGTCTGCTGATTCTGAGAAATCCCAGAACAGCCCATTACCAGTGGGGTCTGCAGCCCCAGGCCCATCCCACTTACTTCCCCCCTGTGGAGGGCCAGGCAGAGGCTGTTCTCCTGGAAGGCTTCTGTCTCTGGGCCAGTTCTGATGTCCCCACAGCCCTGGGACCTTTGTGTCTCTTTGTGTCCCCCACTGTAGAGGACGGCAGGCCACAGCTGCATCAACCTCCTTTACATTTAGATAGGTGAATTTTTACAATTCAGTTTTATATGTTTTGGGCAGTATTTTAAGATATATTTTTTAAACTTTTTATACCTTATCTCTTTAGATTTTTTCAGCTATTTTCTTAAAAGTATATTTTTTCTATAAACATCCTTTGCTGCTACATTAGAACTTTTATAGCCTAAACAATTGCAGTTGGTGTGTTTCGTTTTTTTAAGGTTTAAATAAGGGCTTTTTTTTTTTTTTTTTTTTGGCAGTGAGCATCACTACAGTCTGAGTCAACAGTGTGAATGTATCATGTTTTACTTTAAATGTGTGTGTGATGATACTTCATTATGTTCTGTGCTACAGTGAGACCTGGGTGAAAATCAAGAACCGTACACAACTACACTTTTTTTGTCGTTAGAAAATCTGTGGGAGCCACATCTTCCTAGACTTAAGTGTAAATTATGGAGGATTTTATTTATGTCTATTTATATGTAAATGTCATTGAAGACAAAGGTCAAATATTTGTCTGTTTGGAGATCACGGGCACCAGTTGGTCTTCAGGGACCTCAGAGCCCCTCGGTGGGGCCTTCTTAAGGCAGTGTTTCTGGAGGTTCCCGTCAGGGTCAGCCCAGGCACCCACCCTGGGTGAGGAAACAGCATTGCTGCTGGATGAGAAATGCCTGCACTGCTCTGTTAGATTGGTGCTGAAACAAAAGGTTAAGGCTAGGTTGAAGCCTAGAATGAAAGAGATCTGAATCCTTGTCATTCATGGCACCTTGATCTGTAGGGCCATGGGTGCTGCCGCAGGCAGGGAGTGAGCTGGGGGTGCCTGCGGCCTTCCGCTCCTGCCCCGCCTCACCCCACATGCTCCCTGTTTCTCATGCTTTCTCTAACTTCCTTACCCCTTAACCAAAAAGGTGTGTTTTCTTTTGTGCATATAGCCATTTTTAAATATCAGTGATGTAAACCTTACTTTATTAAAAAATTATCCGGCAAACAAAATGGGAATGTGGCGTTAGTTACGGCCTGACCCTCCAGCGACCTTTCTGCAGGATGGGTTCGGCTGTGTTATCTAATGGTGCTTTGTAAGGTGGGGAAAGGAATTTCACTTGGCTGCATTATTAAATGGACGCCGGGTTACTTTTATTCCCCCCCACACAGGGTTGCAGAGCAAATTATTTTTACCTTGTTCAGCACCTGGCTGGGGTTGGGGGTGTCCACGACCTCTGACAGTCCCCTGATGTCAAAAGTTAATCCTCATGGACCCTAGTTTAAAGGGTATGTGTTTTATAGCAATAAACCTAAAGCACTATTTTGTTTCTGTATAGCATTTTTATCTTTTAAAAACATCATTTGTTCAGCATTAGTAGTAGTTGTAGTGCCTGTTTTGGTAGCCTTCAAAATTATAAACTGCTCAGAGAATGTGACTTTGGGGACCACAGAGACACAGAGACAGGAGAGAACAGCTGCTGTGACCTAGAAGTGTAGCTGGAGCCTCATTCCCTGGACTGTCATCGTGTTCACCTGTGATACTGTACAGCAAAGCCCACTTGTTTCCGCCGTGGTGCACAGTGGCTGAGTAATCAGCTGTTTTCCTAGCATTTCTCTACAGGTTTAGTCTGTGTGTGTGGCGTTTTTTGTTTTGAGATGGAGTCTCGCTTTGTTGTCCAGGCTGGAGTGCAGTGGCGCAATCTCAGCTCCCTGCAACCTCTGCTTCCTGGGTTCAAGTGATTCTCCTGCGTCAGCCTCCCGAGTAGCTGGTATTATAGGCACCCACCACTACACCCAACTAATTTTTTGTATTTTTAGTAGAGACGGGGTTTCATCATGTTGACCAGGATGGTCTCAAACTCCTGACCTCGTGATTTGCCCGTCTCAGCCTCCCAAAGTGCTGCAATTACAGGCGTGAGCCACCACGCCAGGCATTTTTGGTTTTTTGACGGAGTTTCACTCTTGTTGCCCAGGCTGGAGTGCAATGGCATGATCTTGGCTCGCTGCAACCTCTGCCTCCCAGGTTCAAGCGATTTTCCTGCCTCAGCCTCCCAAGTAGCTAGGATTACAGGCAGGTGCCACCACGCCCGGCTAATTTTTGTATTTTTAGTAGAGATGAGGGTTTCGCCATGTTGGTGAGGCCGGTCTCGAACTCCCGACCTCCGGTGATCCACCTGCCTCAGCCTCCCAAAGTGCTGGGAATATAGGCGTGAGCCACCACACCTGGCCGTGTATGTGGTATTTTTAAGTATGTAGCTACAAATTGACTTTAATTGGGAACACATTTTCCAAGTGTTTAATAATTGTGTTTACAACATATTTATTCAGAAACAGAAATACAAATCGCAGTGACCTAAAATTTTGGCACTGTTCTCTGTAGTCTGCTTCTGACCGAACTGAGGGGAGAGGGCATTTTAGTTGACAGTTTCACGGGGCCGTTTCCTGACGCGTAGTGGGCGCCCCTCACGTACAGTGCACCTTGCGCACAGCTTCAGAGCCTCTTCCGCCTCGGAAGTTCAGTTTCTAAGGTTAAAAAGTAATGCACATTTATTTGAAGACGTGGAACAGTATGAAGATAGCAGATTCCTCCCAGGGAACCGATCTTCCTTTCAGGGGTGACAACGCGCCTTGGAGAACACTGCCTGCTCTGCCCACAGATTCCTGTGCAGGATTTCCTCAGGGTAGGGGGATCTCCACAGGGCTGAGCCCAGCCTTCTGGGCCTGGATCCCTGCTGGGCCACAGCCAGGCCAGGCGCCTTCTCCCAGGTTCACTCCTTAGTGAAGTGGGCACTGCAGTGATGGAAGCAGGACTCAGCAGCAAACTGCAGAACAAGTGTTGACATTGTGCTCACCCTGTGGAGTCGCGTTGCTGGATGAGCAGGCTGGCGGAGCCGCTGGAAAGGGCCTGGCTGGGAGGCCAACCCAGCTGGGATGGGTGGGTGGGTGAGCTGCGAACACTTGATATGTTGCGTTGGTGTCTACCGAGAGTGGTGGGATCACGTCCCTCATCATGAACTCTCACAGTTGGTTTCTGGGTTGCTAGAAGTTTCCATCTGCAACCAGCGAGCCACATCCTTAACTGGGATTTGACTGTGACCTGAGCCAGGCTTTGCATGTGGCAGTGCTGTGTGTGCTGGGTTGCTGCATTTACTCACAGGAAGGCCGCTGTTCCTTCTCATACCCTGTGTGGAGATGGCTGTGTCCTCAATGCCCGCTCAGGGTTTGCAGTGGAGCCAAGCAGGGAGGGGAGTTGTGTGGATGCCTGAGGGTTCGAGGGTAACCTCCATTTCTCAGTGGTGAGCTTTTGCAGTGTTCTCAGGACTGGCGATCGCCTGTCTGGGAAGATGTGACTGCCAAGTGCAGCCCTCAGTTGAGGTGTCACAAATGTTGCTTGGTCGCTCCGGCAGGCCTGCTGCAGCTGGACACAGTTTAAGCCCCTGGGGCTGCTTGCTGCCCCATGCAGGCGTACTCTTCATCGGCCCATCCCTCACTCTGCCCTGCCCCTGGGAGATAAGCCCTTGCTTCTCAGATCTGTACCCCTTCCCTCCCGCACTGGGCCTGAATGAGCCTCTGCACTGTGCACGGGAGGCCAGCAGGGGCTGGGGGGCCTTGCAGAGTAGGCTGGGAGCAGCTCCATGGATTGTTCCTGAAGCTGTCAGAACCAGCTGAATGAACTGGAGGTGCAGGTGAAGGCCTGCGTCTTGGGTAACGATTTGGTCAATGTCAGAACAAGAGGCTTGGAAAACCTACAGAGAGCTGGAATGGAAGGTCCAGGAAAGGCCCTAAAAATGACATGCTCTGGGCAGCCTGTTGGCCACGGCCACTATGCAGTGGTTCCCGTCGGCCTGTAGACACCAGGCTCGGGCTCACTGCCTGGCCTGGCCCTGCCACCTTTGGGACCTTCAGGGACCCTTCAGCACCCTCGTCTTTCTGTGAAAAAGCCCCAAATGTACAAGCTGTGCCCCCATCCCTGGGTTGGCCTGAGGCCCTGTAACCTTGCTGCCCCCACATTCCTGCAGACCATCAGACTGGGGAGTAGTCACACTGATCCGCTTGAAGGTTAGCAAGTTGCATGGTGGGGAGCAGGTGGGTGTCCCCAGGCACCTGTTGGGTGGACGCCCAGAGTGGAGTCGAAAACTCCATTTCAGATTCAAAATAAAGCAAGCAACCTGGACGGGACTGTTACAAACACGCAGCCTCTGCCTGATGAAAGCTCCTCTGTCCTGTGCTCACACGTGTGCCTCCCTGCAAGTGCCTCTATCACAAGCTGCGGAGAAAGCCGGCATGCCAGGCGAACCTGCCCACCAGGCTGCCCGGTGATCCTCTTCCTGGAGCTGAGGCACAGCACAGCCAGGCCCGCGGGCTGCATCTGCTTGACAGGACTTTCATTAGAGGTGGGTTCATCTCCCACTGGGATCAGTGAAGGGGCATTCCAGGACCCTACAAAGAGCTGGGCAGGCCTGGGGACAGAGGGCACTGTGGTGCTGGGCGCCAGGAGGGGCTGCCCCACCACTGACCCCACCAGTGATGAAGCCAGGCAGCCTGCAGGGCAAGAGCCAGGTGGGGTGCTTGCTGCCCACAAGCTGAAGATCTGGTCCCAGGAAGCTCTCCCAGGGGCTCTGCCATCTTCACCCTGTTCTTCCTGCCTAGGCTGGTGGCCTAACCTGTGGCAGCTGTGCTGGACCCAGGCACCCAGCAGGACCAGCCACCCACTGAGGGGCAGGAGAACAACAAGGGGCACTGCCCAGCTCCGAGAGCTCAGGCGGGGCAGTGCCTCTGCCTCCCGACCCTGGCCAGAGGCTGTACCAAGTCAGCCCAAGCCCAGACCCACAGTGAGACACAGGCGGAAAGGTGCTCCCTCCATCCTGGCTGCCTGCTGTGGGGACTGTCTGGGTGGTGTAGGAGGGTGTGCATGTGTGTGTGCAACTACATGTATGTGCATGTGCAGCTGGAGGGGGTGCTGGGGGTGAGGGCCAGGGAAGTGGTCAGATCCCAGCCTGTTTAAGGATCCTGGTTTGTGATCCCGTCCCTGTGACCATGGGGCCACCACTCCTGCAGAGCTGCTCAGCTGTGGTCACACTGCGTGCGGCTGCCAGGAGCCCGGGCCGTGCATTTTCCTCCCCGCCCATGGGCCTGGCCAGCCTGGTGCTGAGGGTCACTGGGGACTGGGAGGGTTCCCAGGAGGCCACAACCCCTGCCACTGCCCC